AGAATACGATCTTTTTGCTATAACTGTTTGGTAGACTTCGTTTTCACTTAGTAAATATAAATCTTTTCCAGCGTAAAGTGATATTAATGGTGGTAAGTTCTACGTTACGTTCGATAAATTTCCATAATGTTCAAATATACACAGGATAGAGATTATATGTGATGGTATAGATATGTCAAGATCCTTTTGCATATAAATGTGCCCTAAAAATAGCCCCAAGGTATTCATGAATTGAATTTTCCCTGTTTACTCTGGCTCAAAAATGCACACAAAATAAAACACATAGGTTAACAATAACAGTAATGGAAGAGATATTTACAGACAAAGTTACACATAGAAACTAGAATGAATGGGCCTCCCAATTGTATGACTCCCATGGATCCCAAGTGAATATGGTTGAATCATTGTCCATGTCTTTCCAATGGCTGTCATCGTTTGGTGTGGAAGTTCGTGGAAATCGATGTATGTTCTCCCTAACAAAAAATGAGTACATAGTAAACGTTGAGTAAAGGCAAGCCTCATAAGTTTAAGTTCATACCAATATTCATTTGCTTCGCTGATGTTATGAAACGTCAGTTCTTTTCGAGCAATATTGACTGGATCTTTTTCAAAAGTGAAACGACTGTTTAGTGGCCGTAAGGGTATTGATTGACTAATAAACCATGGTAAAGCAGGAAAAACACGACGGCGAGAAAATGGCAACACATACTAAAAAGAGTGTTGTTATTCATGTCACAAGCTCAGTTTAAACTAAAGATGCTACTTACCTGACCCTTCTCGTTGATATCCAAAGTCAGCATATCTACGCGGACAGTACCCGTGGAATCCTACAGCGAATCACAAGTATATTATGAGACAAATAGGAAGAGACAAATTGTTTCGATAACACAGATAACATTTGTTCGATTCACTTTTCTGTTCTGGCTTCAATAAGTCAGTTCTATACGTACCATTTTGCGGCGTCGAAATTCGATTTGGGGGGTTGATGATTTTATCTTAGTTGGTGTTATTTTCACTGAAGAATTAACCATAGCCACTTTAGACATAGATTTATCTAGAAAAGAGATTGGCATATCATTTATTTTCTTTTTATGAACGCGGTCGTTTTGTTGACATGGATAATTGAAAGATGATAAAACAGAGAACGAACAATTTGAAGCTATTACGACAAGTTTCGATCTTATTAAGAGTCTTTTCAAATCACATAAATAGTGCTGTATATTCATCATATGTTCTTAATTGTCTCACCATTTCATATGAGAATTGTCACCTAAGATCCATATGCAAAATATAGATGATTTTCTAATTTGCCTGATGATGAATGGATTCGGTCTGATTCAAAACGATCGTCGTAAGTGGCTCGGAATTCATTTATCTTAAACTCACCTGTACACCTTATCCACCAACAGCGAATAAATCGTGGCAAAGGAACAATTGTAGCTGCTTACTTTTGTCGGTTTTCGAATTGAAAATTCTGCCTGTTTTATCTCTTTTTTTAAATGTATCATGTTTTTAATGCTGCCATGTTGCTGCATTATAATGATCGCTATGTATACCTTTCAATGAGATAGTAGTTAAATTGAAATCTTCACATACTGTTGGTTTAGAACACAGTTTTTTGATGGATGGTATTGGTACTTATGCTTCTTGCGAAGCTAAAGCTCTCACAATTTTGAATTCTGAGTAGCTAACGTTGTTTCTCTCCATCTTATATAGACATGGAAACTTGGATTTTTATTCTGTTCAAATAATAGTTTTGAAAGGAAAAACTCAACCGATGAGAATCATGCCTCTTCCGTCCCTGCGAGAGACACGTTCTCAAAAATAACATTACATTGGAAATTCCCGTTGTTCAAACGTCATCTTTGTTTACATCATTGTCTGAGTCAACGCAATTTTGATGAAATTTTTTTTCGTTTCGACAGTCAACGTGCCATGCACAATGCAACGGTTCTTCTGCAGAAAAAATGCATGTGACACGTTAAACAAAACAGCGGCTTAGACTTTTTGTCACAGAAATGTTAAAAAAAGACGTTGTGTAAGATGCATAGATTTAGTGAATACATTGTCGAGTCAAATTTTTACGACAATACATCAAATAAGCGTTGTTCTACTGCTCATACATGTCTAAAATTGTAAGGTGTTTATTCTTTCTATTTCGTCTTGACATTGAACGCAGTTCAATGTAATGAACAATATTGATGTAGACGTATGCGATCCTGAACAAATATTGTGCTTTATTCTGCTTCACTTTCATCAAATTACAGCGATGATAGTCAAATGCGTCATACACCAAAGTAGAGAAATAATTGCTCGTAATGTTTAATTGAAGTATGATGCTTAACCCAATGAGTGACGAAGAGTTGTTGAAACCGAGTAAATGAAACCACTTTCTGCACTTTCTTACTAACACTGTCCATGGCAAAATAATTGTACTTGGATATTGCTGGTTACTCGCATCCCTATTCTTTGCGAGAAAAATAATGTTTAGATGAGACGCTTCGCCTATTGCAGTCCTTTGAGTAGTTCGATGGCATAGTCTCAATCTCTAGATGTTCTTTCTTCCATTGATCTCCTTTGTTTGTATTACATTCCAATGTAAGTTCTGTGTTTCAGCTCTATTAAGGGTTGCACTGTCATAGTTTTCAATAAACAGCGACTAATAAATATAAAATCAATCCGAACTGTGGCAAATCCAACAAAGTTTCTAGAAGTTTCAATGAAATAGAAACAGTGTTATATCATAATCGAAAACGTAGTCAATAAATGATTGAATGCATTCAAAATCACACCGTAACAGAATGAGAATTCCCGTCTCAGGTAAGTTCTAGACTTCTTTATGAAATCCTTATAATTTGGAGAATTCTTCTTTGGCTGTATTCTATTCACTAAAAAACCGTCTCAACAAGAAAAACACCGAAGAGGGATGTAACACTATGTGTGATAAGGTGATGTTGTTACCTTTTGTCATTGGCAATAGGAATAAAAATCGATAGAATTCCTGCTAAATTCAAAACATGGAAGAAGTTTATAGAAATATTGGAGAGAAGAAATTTCCCACTGATCGACCAATTGGCTGAGTGTTTGATGATGTGCACAATATTTACCATCATGCTTGCACTCGTCTTTGTCACGTTTCATCAAGATCAATAGAAGACAAGAAAAACGGAAAAAATGGTTCTTGTGTAATTCATACATATAAATGCAAAACATTCTAATGAGAGGAAAGCAAAACGGCAATGGATGGGTGAGGGTGTCGGTGTGAATGTAGGTATAGAAATGAGTGAGAGTCTTGTCGAGAAAATAACTGCCATTTCACAGATAGCTATACCCACATCCGCACCTTCTCTAATTAATCTGGTTACTTCTTCGAAATAAACGACCAGTAACTTTAATCTAATTTACAAAATGAAAATTTAATTTTTAGATTAAATCTAACTTTTTTTTAGCATTGGTACATTTCATATGGAATTTTCGGGCTCATCTATGACCGATATTACTGGTCGAAGTTTTCCTTTTGATTTCGATCGAGCATATTAGTTTTCTTACTCTTTCACCTAATGTAGGACAGTTACCTACTTTGGCAAGTGCTAGATGATTCCATAATTTACTCTAATGATGTCAATTATACATTGCTCGATTTAAACTAAATTAATTTGTTTAAATAGAGCAAAAAAATTAAAGAAAAAATTACCTAATAAAATATTGTATTATGATTCAATTGATTCATTATAACTTTATATTAGTTGTAATACTTCAATTAATCCAGATAAAATTTCGAGCACGAACTTTATCAAATACTTTTCAATAGGGAGTCAATCATTTCACACCATTGTTTATGACATATATCTCATAGAAATGAATTAATTCATCAGTTTTTTTTGACTTTGATAATATTCTGTATGAAGATCAATTGATCGTTGCTAACAGAATAAAAAATAAAAAGATTTTACGCTTATTAATTTATCTTGAAGATCGAGTTGTTCAGATGTCTTAAATGGTAAATGTTCATGACTAATAATTTAATTTTAATTCAATGGCAGTCGAAGTTATTGACGAATTATTTAAAATATTTTTTATATATAAACAAATTCTTATTAACAAATTTCAATTAATAAAAAAAATCTTATTGACAGAAGAGGAAATGTATTTTTAAGTATTATTCGTTTGAATCCGAATAATAATATTATTTATTCGAAAATTTTGGATTTAGTACCAAACTCTTTTAATAATATATAATCACGATTTGTTGCTGTTGAACGAATCATTGTTTAATTTTACAAAGCTCAAGTATTTCGTCATTAGTTAATACATGAAGATCTGCATCAAGATCCTCTAATCATGAGACTTTCAAAAGAGAAAATCTCATCAAATTTTATTTGTAAAATGAAATAAAATTTTTTACTATTTTGAAATAAATCTGTTTCTATACATGTTGAATTAAATAATCTGTATTATTTGATAGATCAGAGATTTCATAAATGATAGTAGATCGTCGAAGCCATTTACAACGGTGCATCAGTAAACGAACAAAATACCTTGAGATGAAACTAAATAAATTATTTATTTTTGAAAATTTTCAAAGAAAAATGAACGAGATAATATTTGAGATTTATCGAATAAGATTAATTCATTTTCATCAAATAAATATTTGTAATATGTGAGTAATGATGAAAGAACTAATGAAAAAGTTGTCCACTGTACATAGTAACTACTATGCAGGGTGCATGTGTGCATTAGAAGACTCACACTCACATCCATATGTTAATCCTGATATGAAAAATGCGTATGAAAGTATAATGTTGAATAATTTTCTTGTGAAAAAACAAAAGAATGAAACTGACTCAAATATCATTAAATCTATCAAATAAAATGTTACTTTCAGAATAAACCTGATGCTTTCAAATTTTTTGTTTTTTCAATACTAGTATGTAACATACTAAAGGTTAGCGTGACAATTATACTAAACTTATGTTTATAAACATTTTCTCACTACAAAAATGAATGGTTTGTAAGTAAAATGATTTTGTAAACATTAATCAAAAGGACTGATGAAAAATAATGAGGATTTTCAATTATTTTCTCTTCTCTTACCGATCATGACCAATATAATATCAAAACTCAAGTCTACTGTCTATTTTTCCAAATTGGTAAAAAGTTTAAGCTTATATAAACAATTTAAATACCTATATTATTATCTATTATTGAAGAAATTAATTTTATTTACAGAATAGTTGATCAAAAGAATCATTATATAATTGGAAGTGTATTCAAAAAAAAGTGACATGTTTTGGAAGTGAACAAATAATATCACTATACAAATAATTTATTTTTGAACAATTAATCTGTGTTGATCTCTTTTAAAATTGTGTATAACATCTATAATCATCATAAACTTCATATAGATTGAGATCATTAAGATAAGAATATTTAACATTTAAGAAATATTGATCATTATCTTTTGATATTCTACATTGTTTATTCTTTTGTCATTTTTAATTAAATAAAGTTAATTGTTTTTGATCAATGGAAATGACTATGCAATATTAAATAGTTCATCTTCTAGAGGTCATTTATCAAATAATGATATTTCATGAAAACATTCCAATAATCTACCTGGAAAATTATTTGTTATATTATTGTAGTTTTTCAATGTATATGAATATGAATAAATATGATATCGACCTTCTACTGCCTCTGAAGAATAATCAACACAAGCAAAAAATTTGGGTGTTGGTGTGGGTGTGAGTTCTCTGTTTACCCACAGCCACATCTACACACCTCAAAATACCAAGTCAATATTTCATTAATAATATATTCCAATGAATTTTGTGATGTAAAAGCCAACTTAACGACTTTCTGTTATTAATTTTCTAGACTTGACAAAGAATTAGTTAAATTAGCTGAAAAAAGTGCACGTGAACGAGAAAAACGTGAACGTGAAGCTCAAGAGCAAGTGCTACAAGCAGCACCTACAACGCCAACCACAACATCAACAACTGTACTATTTAATAATCAAATACAAGTTCAACCAACAATTGAAATTATTTTTTCGGATCAAAAACCAAGAAAACCTAGAAACTCTTATGTCACAATATCTAATAATACTTATAATGATACAAATAAAACAGAAGATTTATTAAGGTTAACTTATTTGAAAAATTAAAATTAAAACAAAGAAGTATTTTTTCTTGTTTTTTTTTAGATTTACACCACGACTTGATCAACAATCGTCAATAACATCTAATTCAACAAATAAATATCCCATATCTAATGAACTTCCAGCTAAATTACAACAAATGACTGGACCTAATGGATCTATAAGAATATCAACGAAAGCAAAATGGTAATTTTCATCTCATTAAAATTTATTTATTTTTTTATGTTGATCTGTTCGTGTCCTTTTCTCAATGTCGTTTCAAATATTTCCGAGTGATTGCTGATTTTCATGTATCGGTTCTTTTTTCGTTTCTGAGACTCAGTCACATATATGCAGTGCATGTATTTACTTTTTTTTTCGTATTCATTTGTCAAAGAAAAGAAAAACTCAAAAATAAGACATGATTTATTTTCACTTAAGATGTTCTACAACTAGAAAAACTCTTTTGGTAGATGGTACGACCACATGTCCTACAATTATTTGGCTAATCTTTATCATTCAATAAGTCATTAAAGAAATGCAAGACAAATGCGTCAGATTTGCAATTCGAACAGATATATCTTCTCTTGTGATATCTAATTAGGTGTGAGCGTCGGTGTCGATGTGGATTAAATCAATATCCGAGTCAACACTCATACCCTGTACTCTATGAGGTTTTTTTCCATTTGTCACGATGCTTCAATGAATAGAAGAATTTCGAATAGAATTCAATCGTTTTATATTGATTCACCGTAAGGCAATTATGAGGACAATTCAATTAGTACAAGAACCTTTCATTATGGTGTAGTGTTAGATTTATCTAACAGTATAAATTATGATGACCTTGGAATTCTTACCCAGCAAATTTCAACTTGTTGATTGCAAGTCATCTCGACTCTAAGCAAATACAAAAAGATGATAGGGGAAAATAACAAATTTCAATTGAAGATGATCGTGGAATATTTCAACAACATTTCATCTCTTCTTATCTACGAAAGAAATACATTTGTTTTTATTCATTACCTCGTGTCAAACATCATTTATTTTTTTTGGCCTCAGGTGAGAAAAGACATCAGAAAAAAAAGAAAGACTGCATTTGTCGTACTTCTTCAAAAAAGTAAAAGAAAAAGAAAGAAGAGAAAAAAAAATAATCACGGCATACACATATTTTCTTTTTCTTCCATCGTAACATATAAAACGTGCAGTATTTTCGTCGATTCAAGTCACATTGCAAGCAAAAAAACTACAGACAAAGCATAGATGAATTTGGAATCGTTGTCCAACGAATTATTACTCGATCTATTTGAATATCTTTCTGTCGTTCAACTTCTTCAGACTTTCCATGGTCTCAATGCTCGTTTCAATACTCTTCTATTTACTCATCTTCAACTCTATGGTCATCTCGATTTTCAATCTGTGTCCAAACATGATTTTGATATTGTCTGTACCCAACATCTTCCATCTGTTATTGATCGAATTATTTCACTTCGACTATCCGATGGCGATGATACTCCACAACAAATCGATATTTTTATATCATATGGTTTTACTCTTCATCAGTTTAGACAATTACAAACACTTTCATTGTGTCACTTGTATTCATACGAGACAACGATGAAAATAATCCAAGAGTTATATCATTTGCCATATTTCACTCATCTCAATTTCATCAACAATCACTTTTTATGTGACGAAACAGACAGTGAGAAAATGATCAATGCCATCTGGGGTCTACCAAGACTTACCCATTGTCATTTATATATAGGTTTTCATCAAAATGAACGATTGTTTCCTAGATTAAATACGATCTCATCATCACTTGAATATCTTTCTGTCGGAAAGTTCAGTTTGTATTTGAGTAAATTAGATCATCTATTTCAACAAACACCTCATCTTCAACATTTTGATGTACGTTTGTTCGATGATGAATTCGATCAACCATTATCATGTTCTATTCCATTGATGATAACGTTGAAACTTATTATTCAAAATTCGTTATATCAATTAGACAATTTTTTACAAAACTTGCCCAATTTATGTCATTTGACAGTCGAGACATTTGATATCGACTTGGATGGACAACAATGGGAACAAATAATAATTGATCATTTACCCAAACTTGAAACCTTTCAACTTAAAATGCATATTAAACTCGAAGATGATGATGATAAGCAACTAAAAATCGATAAATTAATTGCTTCATTTCAAAGTTCGTTCTGGCTTGATGAACATCAATGGTTTGTCCGATGTCACTATGTTGAAGAATGTTGTCTAAATAGTATTATACTCTACACATTACCATATGCATTTGGCTATTTTGATCCTATAGTCAAGATCTCATCGAAATCTACTTGTCCACATGAAAATGATTATTGGTCTTATAATCGTGTACATAGTTTGATCTATCGTACTCCCATAATTCGAGAATCAACTCTATGTAAAATTGCTTTTCCCAATATTCATCATCTTCGTCTCAGTCTTCCTTCTAATGATCAGTTTTGGTCTGTCATTACTACACTCGATCAATTGATTTCACTTGATCTAGCACTGCACGATGATGACTACAATAATGATGTTCGATCTCAATTGCAAGTCGTTCTCGATCGAGCCCCTCGTCTCTACTCCTTAGCTTTCAGGTCGTGGTCAGATTCTCAAATGTGTCTTGTTGACAATAGAAGTTTGTCAGTTCGTCGACTTGATTTACAAGGATATGATGAAGATTGGCTTGTGGAGCGATGGTTCAACGATGAAGAGTGTGCTAAATTGTGTTGCTCATCACTAGGTATTCAATGTGAAGTACTTCTTATTCGAGTTGAACATCGTACAACTATCCTTGATCTTGTCAATCGAATGACAAATCTTCGAGCATTAAATATTAAGTGTCGAGATGATCCATTCAATGAAACCAATGATCGATCATCATTCACTGAAGATGAACTCGTCAAATGGTTGAAAGAATGTTTGCCATCGACGTGGACGATTGCAAGACACCCGGCTGAGTTTGTACGAATGTGGATTCGCTGATAAATAAAAGAAGCTCGGATATATTATGAAAGAGAGCACGAGATAGTTATTTCGTTTGCAATTTTACATCGATAGAAAAAAAAAATCAGAGGTAAAGCATTGTAAAACTTGTTTCTTGCGAATAAAACCAGTTTTGCAGATTCAAGTTTTGGATATGATGCAGAACGCATTTCACTACGTTTCCTGGAGAAAATGTTCAATAAGATTTTTCATTACACTCTTAGCCGAAAGAAACAAGTGTCACATCATTCAGTCTCTTTTCATCTAAAATACTTTGTGCTCAATAATGTTCTTTTCCTTTCCTTATACTGCTATAAACTGTTTTCATAATAGGGTGTGGATGTGAAGGTATAAAGTCTCATTTACACGCACACATACCCTTTAAAAAACTGTCTGAATAAGACACAAAACTAATCATCATAGAATGTTCTTTTTGCTTTATTTGTCATTGTTATATCTCAAGTTTAGTGTGTAAACAATGAATGATTAAGTTATAATTTGCTCAATAATTTTTAAGTATAAAGTCACTGTTGAGACATAGATTTTAATCAATAATAGTATTATAAAACATATAAGAGAAAAAATTGACTATTTTTACCATTATTTAAGTTTGATGAGAAATATTGATTGATTCATTCTTCTTGAGAATTGATAGATAGATGAATATGTCTTAAAGGAAGGAAATTTCAGGGTGTGGGTATGATGGCAAACACTCACATCCTCATATTCATCTTGATTTCTCCAATACAAAAAAGAAAGAAATTGGAAAAATTTTTGCTTGATTTTCATTTGAACGTGAGCTACAAAAGATTATTTATATTACGAAAAGAGTACTTTTAATAAATCGATTTCATTATGTTACTATGTAATATAAAGGAGAACAAGCTATGTTTCAGCATAGTCCAATATGAATAAAAAGTAATAGAAATCGAAGGCATACGAATGTAAATTCTAGTGATTTTAACTTAAATCTTATTGAAGGCACTATCTCAGCTATCGAAGAATAAGAAAGGTTTTCTTAATACAAGTAGTAAAATAGACCTATCCTGAAGTCTTCTTTTGATAAAATTGAGATTGAAATAAAACACGAACGATTTTTTTATAAGCCAATCAGGCAGGTATAACCATATATACAAATCGAGTAAAAAGATATTTCATCGAGCTTAGAATTTCTCATCATTTATTGTTATCATTGTATATCATCATCAAGTACAGTTTTTTTCTTCTATGATTATCATATATTATTTAGGATTTGGCTTTTGAATTAATTAGTCTGTAACATAAATCATAAAAATAATCATGTTCATTGGATACATAAGAATTTCCTTTTGACAGGATGTGGGTATAGTATATGGGAGAATGTTCGTGTAATTCAAGCAAAAGCAATACCCATACCCTAGACACCCACAACGAAAGGTTCAACTTGGCCTATACGCCAACCAAAAATAGATTTTTCAGATAAACAGTGTGGATATTTCCAATAAAAAGTTAATGAATGTGTTTTCAGTGTGAAACACTGGAAACCGTGCGAGATAGTTTCGGATATGCATACTTTGCAACAAAACAATAAATTTTACTTTACGAATAGTAAAATTTTAAACGAAAACTAACGAGAGAGGTACCCGAACTGTCTCCTCGTCTATGAGCTAATACTTTGACGATAAGTAAGGCTCAATATGACTAGAAAAATACTAAAAGAATTTGTGCCCATGGGTCTCTGATCAAAAGTTATGGACATGTCATTATTCATCTGAAAACGTGTAATGTACAGGTCGATTTCTTCTCAATATTCTGTAATTCCACTGATTTAAGCAATGAATTTTTTATTCTGCAGCGTCTTTGGTGGCTTCTTCTAGTCAGTAATAGTTTCAAACCAATAGGATCTAGCATTGGACAAGTACAAAAATCCAATTTCTGTAGACTTTCGAACATTTTTCATACCGAGTTTTTAGTTCAAAGAAAATCATGGGCAATGCAGAACAATTTTTCATGCATAATTCTGTTTTCCAATGGTTTCATCGTAGAAATCAAAGATATTTGTCCTATAATTGGCAGAAGAGGGAATTTTTACAATAGAGTATTATCTCTTATCTTCTCATCACCTATGGTGCCATAGAAAGTAGGATCATTTTTTTCATTCATTTTTGTGTCGTAACTTTCGTCCTCATGCGCATCGTCCAATGCAGTATCATAGTCTAGTGCAGTCTTGTTCTCCACTTTGCCAGACGAACTTATCAGAACTTTATCCAAAATTGTGTACAATTGATTGACAAACTGTTGTTCAAGAATGTAATCCAAAGGACGATAAGAATCTTACTTCGCAACACGATCCGCCAGCATGAATGTCACAGATTCAGTCTTTATCATTTAGCTTTCAAAAATCTATCTGAAGAAATGGACAGAGGATAATAACCCTTCGTACCATTCTTTACATTCTTCCTCATTCTGATAAAATGACACGGAGGATAGAAAAAAAGCCTACATTACTGTACTTACAAGAAGGCCCTAAGAAATAAAAAAATTTGTATCTCTTAAATATCAGACCTTATTAGTTTGACACGTTTACTGACCATAGGAAGCCACCAGAATCGCTGCAGAATAAAAAAATTCATTGCTTAAATCAGTGGAGTTACAGAATATTTACAAGAAATCGGCCTGTACATTACACGTTTTTAGATGAATAATGACATGTCCATAACTTTTGATCAGACACCCATGGGGACACATCCTTTTAGGCTTTTCTAGTCATATTGAGCCCTTCTTATGGTCAAAGTATGAGCTTAAAGTCAAATATTCAAAAACTGTTGGATAAGAACTAAAATAGCACTCAACTTATGTCTTTTGATACAAATCCTCAGCTACAACCTTCTTTATAATTTCAAAGAACAACAAATAAAATATAGAATAGACCTGGGTTTATCGAAATATGTCCATATCAAAAAAACGTAAGTGGCCACAGGTTTTCTGAGTTACACTCACAAAAAATATAGAGACAGATTTTCCAAGTATATCCTTCCTTTTCAAATAGAATAGATCCTGTGAGTCGAAGAGAATAAACATAGCAAAGATTTTTCTTTTTCCATAGTAAACAATGCTGTTATTTATGATGTTAGCAGACAATTATCTTATACCTTAAGAGCATATGTGAACACTAAAAGACATATAAATAAGTAATTTTTGATCAATACTTAGTTCTATATGTTTTCACATATTGCTATGATCATTTCGGATTAGCTAATCAATATTAGCTCTACAGTAGCCAATAAGTATTAATTCATTAGTTTATATAGAACAAACATTTATTGAAATATATCACATCAATGTGGAAAGTGTCCGGAATAATTCATAATCTATTAGCAGTTCTTTTTTCCATTAGACAAAAACATTCATAGTAATTTGTTTCAAGATTTGAGAGGATTTCTAGATGACTTGCTATGAAGCAGAAGTCTTTTGTAGTTTGATACTGCTGACAATTTCGTCATAGATGTGATTCATTCCGTATGATCTAGTCTGAAGTTTTCGATTTTTTTTCTTGTGTGGATAAAGAGATATTTGCTAATTACTTTTTAATAAATAGTTAGTTGCAAGAGTCAACACTTTTTACATATGCCTATGCTAAAAGAACTTTTTTCATCATAATTTGTTAATTTGAGGAATAATTTGCAACTAACATGGGTTGTTGGTATGTACAACATAAGAAATGAACGTACTATTTAGAACAATAAAAAAATAATGTTTGAATCAATGATTTTGTCTAATGTCATATCCTTCTTTTTGAATTCGTAATGGACTAATTTTCCTTCATCTAGTATAATGAAGGGCTTGTCTTTTTTTTTTTTTTCGTCTTACAATACTTTCATGGTTCTATTCTAACCTTCATTAAATATCTATAAAAACGACACGATAATAATTAATACATTTTTGTTTCAATGATACTTTTAATTTTCTTTGTTATCAATAATTTAAAAAGCGAAAAAAAAAAGAATATATCCAAGGATACTTTAATGCAATGAAATAGATGTTTTATGTCTATATTTATGTATAGTTTTGTTCATGCTTGATTGAGCATTTGTTATATTAATGAGAGATATATAAATTGATGATCATTACGTTTTTATTTGAGTATTTGATCTCTACTCTGTCGATTTTGAATAATGACAAATTTTGATGTAGCCAAAGCTTTATTTGCACAAGTTGACACCAATCGAGATGGATGGTATGAAATAAAAATTTTCATAATAATATAAATCTTCTATTTAGTATTGATCAAAATGAATTTCGTAATTGGATTTCAAATGCAGAAGGATTAAATTCTGCATCGTATGAAACATCAACTAGTGGACTTATTCTTCATGATAATGTTACTAATTGCATTGGCGGAAACGAATATAGTTTTAGTTCTCAAAATGCTTTTGAATCGACGGCTGACATAAATACTTCATATGGATTGCCGACAGCATCCGGTGAATTGTTTGGTGATACAGCGATTCATACAAGTAGTGTACACCAACCCAACCAATATCTTTCACAATCAGCCAAAAATATTTATTTTGATCCTGATCCACAAATCGTTCGACGGGCAACAACTGAAGGTCCGATAATATATCAACAAAAAATTCTTGTTCGATTTCTTCAACCACCAGCTATTCCACCACCAGGAGTAATTAAATAAATATTTACAAATTCAATTATACTTATCTTTACAATTTTAGCCACTTATTATTAAAGAAGTGCGTCCAGTACAGCCACCTCCACCCCTACCACTTATTGTACGTCAACGTGCACAACCTCTTCCTCCACCATCTCCACTTATCTTACGTGAACGTCCACCAATACCACCGACAATAATTGCTAGTCAAACAAGTTAAAAAAAAGAATCAAATTTAAATCAATTAATTATATTAATCAGTTTATTTTATTTTTCATAGTTATTCGCCGTTTACCTGCTAGACCTGTTCCACCACGATCAGTTATTATTGAACGTATTCCACCTCCTCCACAAAAACCACGTAAAATCATTATTTTCATTGAGTAGTTTCAATTCGTTTTCTATTCAGGTGATATCATAATTGAACGATGGATTCCCTATGGGCCTCAACCGAAACGTCGTACCATTGTTCAACGTGCTCCTGCTGCTGTACCATATCCACAACCACGTAATATAGTCGTTGTTTATGAAGCTGCTCAAGCACATATAATGCGACAATTTAAAAAACTTGGCATAATTCAAGAAAATCCTCAAGCTTATATAGCTCGTTATGGGTCATCACTTTTAGATTCTGCAACACTTATTCAAGAGGCTCGTAACGCTGGTGTTGTTGAAGATATCGTAAAAAAAATATTTTCGAAAAAAACAAAAAAAAAAAACAAATTTGTATTTTTTAGTCGCCTCCTGCAATACCATCTTCAATATATGTTGGTGCAAGTGGAAATCCTGTCGATTTTGATCTGTCAAATACAACAGCTGGTCAAAATTTTTCATCATTAGGTGCAACTGTTTTCGATGGAATTCAACTAGTTGATGATAGTGCTTTAGTTGGCAGTGTTAATATAGCTAAAGGTGAATTTGATGTAGATGGTACAAGTTTTACTACTACTGCTGATATTAACCATGATGGACAATTAAATCAAACAGAATTTCAACGATTTATTCAAAGTCATATTTAAATAAAGTCTTTCTTTATCTAATATAAGCACTGCTCTTCTTTTTTTTTTTTTACAATGAAACATATAAACTAAATAATAAAAGAGAACAAACAATAAAATATTGATCAAATATTACTGATACCACTATCAGCTGAATCACGTTTTCTTGTATACCATACAGGTGTTATTTTTAAACGAGCTAATTGCATTGTATCATGCCATAAATTAGCATAAAATAATACTTTATTTTTTGTATTTTGAATATTAGTATCAATGTAATCATTTTTTGGATATATAGTTTGATGATTTATTTCCATAGATAATCTATATGTTTTATCTTTTCCATTTAATATAAATGTTTGTGTTTCTTGTACAAATATTATATTATTAAGTTCACTAAGATCAATAGAAAAATCTTCAACTTGATCTAATTTTCCACCATATATATGTAATTGATAATCTTCTTGTAATTCAATCCAAATAATTGATTTCAATGGAAAAAATCGAAAATCACCAAATAATATTGTTTTATTTTCATCACGTGTTATTTTTTGAGATGATAATCGATTTCTATCTATACCAGTAAAATGTTTATAACATTGATCACAAACACGTACTTCACCTTTAGTATTACAATATTTAAGAATTAATTTTTTTGTTGAACATGAACTACATATACAACGACCACATGATCGACAATGATGTCGTGAAGATATTAATTTAGAACTAAAACGATCATAACAAATTTGACAACGTGTTACATCGAAATAATTGACCCATGCAGAAGGAGCACGAGTACCTAATTGTTGTTCATCAGTACGATGAAACGATTGACGAACTAGAGTAGAATAACAAAAAAAAAAACAAGTTTGACTGAAGTTCTTTATAAGAGTTTTCTTTTTTTCTGCATATATTCTTTTAGAATAAACTTATGTAGAAAATGCTAGCTTTTCCAGTTGACTATTAATTAAAAGTAATTGGCAAATATCTTTCTAATCATAACTGAATTGTTTTTAAAATCTTACTATGCTAAGAAAAAAACTTTTGCATAGAGATTGTGTAACCTCACGAATTGATTTCAATGATCTGAAGTCGATTAATAGATTAATTCAAGTTTTAGCATAAAATTCTTCCTCAATTCGAAATTGAACGTAATTGCAGTTTGTATGCTATTATATATATATCTGTTAATATAGAAGCAGTCGAAAAAGCTACATAAGAAAAAATCATCGAATTACTTGAATTTTAATAAAAATTAGTGAATCGATTTATTAACAAGAGATAAATGTGACACTCAGGCAGTTATGTATCATATCATTATCGTATGTGTACGAAAACCTACCGATGTCTATGAATTCAAAAATCAAAGTTTTTCATTTTATAATGGAATACTAAATAAAATGATTGTATGTTTCTGTATAATACTCTCAGAAAGACAAAACAATATTCAACAATTTTTATGGAATATCTTCTACGTTTCTAATACTATATGAGTTTTAAAGCATTCTTCATTGTCGTTATTGTTTGTCTCAATATGTCAGTTAAATAAATCTATGATTTTCTAACTGACATATCGTTTTTAAATAGGAAAAATTCAAATTTATTAATAACTCTGTTTTTTGATGTATTCATAATTCTAACCATCATGGCTATTAAAATTTTTAGTACTTTACAACTCTAACCTAGAATGTGAATCTGTGTAGAAGTGCTTTTAAACATATAACCGACCTTTTATATGAATATGACGGCATGACAGTGTGGGTAGCTACTTAGGATTTTTAGTAAGATGAAAAAAAAATTTGAGTTTACTCATACAAGTCTAGAATCGAGTATATACATTCCGCTTTAAGCAATGCAACAATCTAATGCTTGCAAAGTCGAATGAAGTTGCTCATAAGTTTAAGAAGTCTTTCACATTGCTCTATAGATAATCCTATGGTATAATATCATACTATAGATTTACTAAAAGTGAACGTATAATCTTCTATAAATTTAATATATATCATCAATATAAAAGTTCAACTAGTATAGATATAGATCCCGTAATCAAAGAATTAATGTTAAAAGTATTGACGTATTTAGAATGCACATAGTTTTTTATCAATACAATGAATTTGTTTTTTTCTATATTGATTGATTAATATATGAAATAAATATATTACATACTTTCTATAGTTGCATTTCGTCTTTGAAAATCTTCACTGGCTTGTCTAATTTTATTCACCCATTTTTCTCTATCGGATTCTTTATCAGGTAAAAATTCATAAGATTTTTCAATAGCATTAACATGAAATGGATAATAAATAAGAAAACTCAATTGTTGTACATTAGTTGAATTAGATGATGCTGATGCTAATCGTTCACGTTCAATAATTTCAACTTTTATATTTTTTATTGATAATTGTCGTTTTATTTCAAGTTTATTTCCTGATTCTCCACATATAAGTATACAATTAGAAAATAATATAACATAATATTGAACAATATCAGTAGGTTTACGTGGTAATTGTCTTTTTAATCGACCATGCCAAATAAGTTGTTGTTTATCAAAACATTCTGGTTTGCTATCAACTCGTAATTTTAGTTTATTTAATTGTGCTGGAGATACAGCTAAATATTCTTGACATCGATCAGCTATATAACTTAGTTCATCATGTACAAAACAAGTATGATCATAATCAGCAGAATCTTCATCAAGATGTTGCATATAAGTTTTCATAAGAAGCATATAACTAAAAAAAATCAAAATGATCAAGGAAAAATTGATCATGAAAACAAAGAAAAAAAAAAAAAAAAAACTTTGAAAAAAGACAACTCGAAATAGTCTTCTAATTCTTTAATAATGCTATTGTAAAAAGTTCCAAAATCTGCACCAAATCAGAAGTTGTTACATTTTCTACAACCTCCTATTAAAAAAATAAAAGCCTTATAAAAACTGTGAAAAAAGGTTTTTGTTTTTTTTTTAAGTCGCGTTTTTGATAAATTTCATTTTCTATGTTACTGTAAAGAGATAAAATAGACTGAAATAAAATTTGTTATGTAATACATGTATATGAAGAATACATACTATTAGAACCTATTGGAACGAAAATTTTCGGACTAGGACTTGACAGGATCAATATACTGTACTTTTTTTTATAATCTTTATTTGAATTGTATTCTTCTTACCGAAGTAAATGTTGATTGGCACAATTAAGTTCATTAATTGGATATAAATTTCCAAGATGAACTTGACATTGAAGCATTGCTTCATGAATTAATGGATTTGTAGTACATAAACGTTCTAATTTCTGTTGATTTTCATCATAGACAATATAATATTCTTTATATAAATTTTCAATTGTTTGAAAATGTTCAATAAATATTGACCATATATTATCAGTTCGATGACCTATTTTATATTGTATCATATCTGGTAAGATACATTCATAATGAAATTTATATAAACGTTTTATTGTGTCAAGTAATGGTTTATAAACACTATTAAATGTATGAAGAAGATTTTCATCTCTCTGACATGTTTTTTTAACATAATCAGAAACTTTAAAAGAAAGTACATAAAGTTTTTTAATATATTTTTCTTCATTTACATATACTTCATCAAGACATTTCAATAAACTTTCTTTCTAAAATAAAATATTTAATGAAAATATTTTGTTTTTTTGTTTTTTTAAATATTTATATGAAACTAACTTGTTTAATATCGAATTCTTTAGTTTCATCAATAGATGACCCATCGAATGAATCAAATTTTGATGAAATATTAAAATCAATATTTGGAAAATTATGTATAGGATTTGGTTGAGATTTAATAAATATTTCCGGATGTTGAACTTGAGTTTGTTTTAATGTTGTTGTTGTTGTTGTTGTTGACATTGAATTTGATGATATTGTGTCAAGTTTTATATGATGAGAATCAATGAGATCATTTGATTGATTCTTAAAAAAATATTATGATTTTGTTTTTTTTTTACGAAAAACAAAAACAAATTTATTTACATACAGAATCATATGTGATTGAAGTTTTTAAATCATCAGAATTTTTATTTTTTGAATTTGAATCCGAAGTAATATCTTTATTTATTTCAAATGTTGATACATTCGATAGAAGAGATTGAGTATATGTTGGAATAAAGTGGGAAGTACTTATAGTAGTTATGTTCTTTTTTTCAGGTAATGATGTCCACACTTAAAAAAAAACAAGATACAAATATTGAAATTTAATATTTATAGTAATTGAAGTAATGATAAAAATACAATTTGAAAAAAAAAGAACATAAAGATTTTTCAAATATTTGTTCGATGTATGAAGGTAAGTTGATTTTACGCAAAAACAATAATATGGCTTATTTCTTTTTTTTTCAGTCACATTAGTTACTTTTGTGAGGTTTTCATCTTCTCAAATCGATGAGTCATGTTTTGTGTACTCCTCTTTTTCAATGCATTAGTCATTATGAAAGAAAGTTACTTGCTTTTCGTATCAGAATCTTAACTTGTCGAGGTCCATAAGGATATAATAACCATAAAACTGAAATTTTTTCTTTTCATCGAAACCTAACTATATACAAAGAAAAAAAGACGAAGAAAAAGTAATTTTAAACTTTCGGTTTATTATTATTCGTATTTATCTGAGATGAAGCACTTGAATGTAGCAATTAAACTGAATACGAAAGGGTAACTTTTATATATGAATGATTATTAAATGTAAGCTATAATTATATTGTGCTGCGCATTGCTTGAAGTCTCAGACAAAATCATAGATTGACTATCATCAGTAGAAATAGTGAAGGTAAAATATGACTGTTCACATATGTTTGTAGACTCACAAAGTCAATTGTTTTCTCTTTTCTAATATAATAGTTCAAATATAAGGGCTAGGTCGAATGTTGAACTATTTTTTGCGTATTTAAATGTATCGCATAAGAACTATAAATGAATCATTAACTCAAATGTAACTTGTTTCAAACATACTATAAAATTGTATGAAATATATTCGAAAGTACAGAAAATAATTCTCTAGA